TTATTTTTCACGTCATCAATACCAAATTCAATCTAATTGGATGGGAATCTACGTTGCATTTGACGCACCACTACAAGATGAATCGACAGATTCGGCGGTATTCATTCGCGGCAAATCATTGCAGCTTGGTGGCGGTGGCGTTAGCATAGTAGCATGGACGACGAGATGATTGAAAATGAACACAACGGAGATCTAGTCCTATTGGCAGACATCCATTTAAAATGTAGGCAACGGCGTGAAAAAAGTGGTTTCTACTTTTACTTTTATACTTTAAGTAAATTTACAAGCCTGTACTTTGTTACTTTTACCTGAGTAAAGAAGTTTAATCAGTACTTCCACTTTTACCAGAGTATTTTTTAACACAAGTATCTGTACTTTTACTCAAGTACGGAAAGTGAGTACTTTTGCCATCTCTGTATATATCTATATATAGATATATAGATCCAGATTTTTCGTTTAGGAATACGTTTATTTTGACAAAGTATCTTGTTAGATTCATTTGGATAAATTAAGCAATTAACATAATCAATCGCTACTCACACATTTTCCTAGGATTATAGTAACTTAAAGTCGTAGGAAAGAAGCTTTTCCAACCGTTGCATTTCCGAATTCTCCCAAGTGGTGCCCAACTTTACACGAGTGAATAAAGTGGATGTGATTGGTCATTTTTTAAGGGGGCGGGATTGTGTGGTGGAAGATTCGCAAGCAAGTTTGGTTGTGGCCAGTTTGTCTGAAACATCTTGCTAACCAGTTAGCAACTTAGGCTATGTTCACACTGCAGCCTGAAGTGACCCAAATCCGATTTTTTTTGCCCATATGCGACCTGGATCTGATCTTTTCATGGCAGTCTGAACAACACAGATCCGATTTTTTTCCAATGCGACCCAGGCCACTTGGCTATGTGGTCCTGAATCTGATACGAATCTGATCTTTTCAAATCCGACCTGTGTCCAAACGGCCATGAATCCGCCCTGAACGTCATTAATACCCGACAGACGTTACTATTCTGCGTCTTGCTACGTAGAAGCGGCAAGAAAAACAACAATGGCAGATGATGATGTAGAGAGCATTATTTATGCTTAAAAATATTGAAAAGATTGTGTTTTTATGTTTGGAAAAGACCGCTAGATGCGTGCCGGCACTACCAGTCATTTTTACTTCTGGAAAAAAAAAGCATGCTGGCCTGTGACGTCATTATGTCCTCTACTGTGCATGCGGGACACTTGCGTTGTATGACTGCAGTTCCCACAGGACATCACATACAAGTCGCATTTTTTTGGAATTATGAACGTCAACGCAAAAAAATCGGATTTCCCCAAAAAATCGGAATTGAGCATCAAGGCCTGCAGCGTGAACTTAGCCATAGGGCTAGTAGGTTCCCAATGGGGAATTCCATTTAGAACAAGTAGCACTAAATTGGTTACTTAGCAACAACACTGTCAAGGAACGCTATGGACAGCAGAAACACGCAAGAGGAGTTTTGTGTCGGGGGTCGTAGATGAGTCTCCTCCGTCATCCATTTTTTATTTAGAGGAGGAAAGCGGGGACGAAGATGTTGTGGAAGAGGACACCAGGGCGGCAGAAGCTTGGTTTGGTGTAGAAGGCTTCCAGCCGTACATGTTTGAGCCCTTGCCTCGCAACGCTGCCAGTTCTGTTAGCTCTACGCCTGCCGAAGACACAGACGTCCATCCCCGTGAACACTGGGACGCAACTCAATGGGAAAGGAAATGATTCTTATTTCTTATTTTAACCATTGCGACATATGAATCAAAGTGCTTTGACCGAAAAAATTGGATTGAAAGATGAGCGTTGATACATGATTGGACGAATGTAGGTGTTCGGACTGACGTATAATTAACTGTCCTGCATAAGATAATGAAAAAAAAAAAAAAAAAACACAGATTTTAAGACAGGATTGTTTTAAAAATAGAAATTTTCTAACTTTTGGGACAATATGGTCTGATAAAGAGTACATTTATATACATGTTTAAGCCAGAATTATTTAACATTTAAATATGGCTTCCCTAAATGAGTACCAGCTATATCCTTCCCTTCCTCCACCTCGTTAGGTCTGCTACTCCCGTTGTAGGCCATTTGGGCTGTGGTCGTATTTAGAGCCACTCAGCAGGGCGTACAATCTTTGTATGAAGAATGCCACTAACAGTGACACACCACCAGACAGAGGGTCTGATTTCCAGCGAGGGAAAGTGTTGTGTCTCTTAAATAAGAAGTTGACCTTTTCTGTTTGGATTCAAACTCTGAATTTGCATAAATTTTCCAGGAAGTGTTTATTTTAGATCTGTTTTACTGGTTAACTGGTTGATATTGTGTTTGATTCTCTTTGCTCCTAAAACATGCATTTTTCCCACGAAACAAAAAGTATTTGGTGTATTTATTTACATTTTTTTTTGTGATATTATTTATGTACCGCATTTAAAATATTTTTGAGGTTGTGAACAGTTTGTGTACTTTTGTCTTAATCAGTGGCCATTCTGCTTCTCCAAGTGATATAAATTAATGTGAAAGAAATTCCTATTTTATTTAGAAAAGTCTTTTTGGTTTTTGCTTGATTACATTTTTTTTTTCATTTTTGGCCAGTGTTCTAGATGTTAATCATTGCTCTTATATAGATTATCATCATTTTAGCTCTTTTCTTCTTTTGGTTCCTCAAAAAACCTTGAGTAATTGATTTGATATATTTTACCCATACAGTGGCTGATATTCTACATTTTATGAAGCAGACCTTTGAACTTGGTTGTCCAAACTCCTGTTTTGAGCAGTCATAACGTTACTGTTTTAGCTGCTTACATCATTTCAAAATCCCACCACAGTTTGATCTGATGCACCCTGTTTATACACAGTGTGCAGTTTTAGATTTCCTTTTTGTCCTTCGCTGCACGGCCGAAATCTGAGCCCGCTTGTGCAGCTCAGCTGAGGTCCGGACCTTCAGAGGCTCGATAGCTGCAGCCTGCAGGCAATGATATTCTGGATAAAGCTCACTGTGGCTGCAGCTGGATGTGATTATATAAGATGCCACTGGTCAGCTATTATTAGCCTGTAACTGAGGCTCGGAAGAAACGCTGTGTGCGATTTACTTATGTAAGGCCCACTACTACGCTTAATAAAAATCTAATATTGGTTATCTTAAAATGACTGTAAATATTAAAGATCAAATATCAAAAAAGAAAATTATTTTGCAGAAAGAGCTTCTTCACCAGAAGTAAAACCCTAATAGTGGAGAATAGTGAAATGTGGGACTCCAGTTAACTTTGAGGACTTTGTTTGCGAGCTCCTACTTCAAAGAAGCCGGCGTTCTGTCAGATCATCATACCTCATCAGACCAGCATACCCATAGTCAATACACATGCGTAAAACATCCGATTTGCGTTCATCCCTTTAGTTTTGTACAAAAAATAGACCTTAAACTACCTTGATGTGTGTGTATCCCTTTAGTCATGTACATAAAACAGATCAGATGGCCATGCTCTTTAAAAAAACACCAAAAATTAATTAATAAGGTTTTTGTACATGACTAAAAGGGAACACACCCATTTAGGTAGTTTAAAGTCTATTTTTCCCACAAAACTAAACGGATAAACTAAAGGGATAAACGGGTATTGACTATTGGTAAGCTGTTCTGACAGGGTATGCTCATCTGACAGAACACCCTCAAGGGATCAAATTATTCCTAGCAGTATTAGCCAATTAGAAGAAGAAGGGGGCGGGTGTTAGGAAAGCCTGTTTCTCCTCCTCTCGTTTCTTGCTCAAGTCGCCAGATAGATTGTGGTACAGTGCTGAAGTTCTACATGGAAAGTCACCTTGCCCCGGAGAAATGTGTGAAAAGTCAAAAAATAAGTAAATGAAACTGTGTTTGGATAGAAGTACGATTAGGGTTGGGAATTGAAAAGATTTTCACGATTCCGATTCCCTTTTTGATTCTATGAAACGATTAGATTCTTTATCGATTCTTGTTTCGATTCCAATTTGGGGGAAAAAGGAGAACAAACAGTTTGATTATCAGCATCAACTTTGTTTACTTAACTATTGCACAATCTTAAAAAATCAACAAGATCAAGATGTCCACAGGAAATGTGAAACTGGAGTAACATCTGTGTTTAAATGAAAAATAAATATACAAGAACAAACTTAATAACCAACAATGTCTAATATCAAATGATGGGATAATAACCTATTTTAAATAACAAAAATACTAATTATAAAACAGTAGTAGGGAAAATTAACAGTTATTTTGCAGAAAGATGAGCATATCTGCTTTTTCTGGAAGGATATGGGATTTTTCAGCGCTTAAGGCGTCTCCAGCCGTGGAGAACACCCTCTCAGATGGGGTGGAGGAAGCCTGCACACAGAGGTAGTTTTCAGCCAGTCCAGATAGCAAGAGCAGCGTATCTTGCTTGTTCCTCCACCACAGTGTGGCGCTATCCCTGCAGGGGATGGAGGGCAAGCTTTTATAGAGCTGGATTTCCTGATCTACCCTCTGGGCTAAGGAAAGACGGGGCTTTGATTCACAAAGTGACCGCAGCTCGTTGTCATCCTCCTCGAATAGTTCTTCCAACTTGCGTAACTTGCGTAACTTGCGTAACTGAGGTAACTTACGTAAAAAACGTGACGTAAGTCGTGCTCCCCAGAGCCGGCGTTCTAGGCTCTGGTGCTGCGGGAATCGAAAAAAGAATCGTTCAGCGAGCTGCCAAACGATGCCATGGGAATCGGAAAATACGGAACCGGTTCTGAACAGGAACCGGTTTTCGATTCCCATCCCTAAGTACGATAGAGAGAACAGAACTGCAGGGTGTGGGCACATGCTTATATAAGATGCACTTTTGCCATCTTCTGGACATTTTGGTATTGGATTTTCAAAAGTCAAATTTAGCCTTCAGTCATAGATGCAATCTATGCCCCCACATCCCCTGGCATGGCTTGAAACTACACACACACAGTGAAGAAGGGCAACTGGTTCACCCCTCTCTGTCTCTCTGTTTCAGGACTGTTTTGAGGATGCTTTCGATCGGATACCTTCGTAAGTACATGCATGCTAGCAAAGTATTGTGGGAATTAGTTGGTAAATGTTTTGTTGTTTGCATTTCTCGTCAGCCTCCTGTTTCTTTTTTAAATGCATCTTTTTTATCACTTTCAGTGTTAGCTGGCCAGTATTTGTTATTTATTGCTTTTCATATGTTGTTAGTATTTATCCTGCAGCCTCATTTAGAAAGCTACATTTTCATACTTTTTTGTATTTAAGCCTATAATTTAAAATTAAATGTAGGTGCATTCATACTGCAGTCTAAGTCACAATTGCAAAAAGCAAAACAGGGAACTTATAACATCACAATGTTTCCCACAGTTGGTAAATTGTGAAAATAATTGTGTGCAGGACACATCTGTATTTTGCACAGACTTATAAAACATCCCCCACCTCAGGCATTAGCCTGTTCCAGAATCAGAGACCTCTTTCAGTGACTGCTGCATCTTAGGTGCACTAATGAGCATTATCGCACATCCTTCCTTCTAGCAGCAGTTAGTTTTGGTCATTTCGATTCTTCTATTCAAAAACAATAAGGCTGAGGAGTATGGCCTTATAGTTTTATCACAATATGTTGTGATATTGTCCTGACAACCATAAAATTGACCATAAATACACGGTTCCTTAATCCTTTGAAGTCTTTCACTACTCTTAAAGTAATACACAAATTTAACATAAATTCTTTAGTTACATAAGAAAAAAATGTTTTTTTGTTTTTTTACATTGTAACCACATTTAATCATATTTGAATTTTTTGATGCTCGAATGTGGAGAATAAAATTCTAATTTCACCAATTTTTTAAACATTTTTTTTGTCATCGCTAATTTTAATGTATTGTTTAGGTCAGGGGTGGGCAATTCCAGTTCCTAGGGGCCGGTATCCTGCAACTTTTAGATGTGCCTTGGGTTCAACACACCTGAATCAAGTACTCAGATAATTGGGAGGACTCTGCAGGAACCGACTGCATACTGTGGAGGTAACTCAGCCATTCAGGTGTGTTGGACCAAGGATGGATCTAAAAGTTGCAGGATACCGCCCCCCAGCAACTGGAATTGCCCACCCCTGGTTTAGGTGATAAATCTAAATTGGGATCATAACTTTTTGGCCCAGATACCTGATATCTGGCTGTGCAGTATCGGCCGATACCGATACCATCTGTTTGAAATTGATGTGTGTGTATATATGAAGAACTGCATACTACTTGGATGTAAAATAATTGCCATCATGGCTTTGTCAAGCTGCTGCCTTCCTTTGTGAAGCAGGAAAAAGACTAATACAAAGTGAATCCAGTAGAACTTTTTATTGCCTACCTGGAATGGGTGACAATAGTTGAAGAAACTTTTTGCTCTCAGAATGGTATCAGTGCCTTCTTTGTTGGTACTCGCTGATACCGATACCACCATTTTAGTGCTGGATCGGGGCCCCGCCCGATACTGGTATCGGTATTGGTGCAGCACTGGTCATGAACGATGTCAAACGATGCAGTAAATGTCCAGCCCTATAAAACCATGTCCCGAGTTTCTCTCTCACTAAGGCTACGTTCACACCGCAGCCTGAAGTGACCCAATTCCGATTTTTTTGCCCATATGTGACCTGTATCTGATCTTTTTATGACAGTCTGAACGACACAGATCGGATTTTTTCAAATGCGACCCAGGCCACTTGGATATGTGCTCCTGAATCCGATACGTATCTGATCTTTTCAAATGCGACCTGTGTCTGTACGGCCAGGTCGCATTCATCCGACCTACACGTCATTGATACTTGACAAATATTACTAAACGTTACTAATCTGCGTCCTACTAAGCGGAGGCGGGAAAAACTAACAACCATGGCGGAAGATAACACAGAGAGCAGTCAATGGAGAGAAAGTGAGGTTGCTGACTTAATTCATATTTAGAAAGCTCGATTCAGACCAAACTCGAAGGGTCTTACCGGAACCGGGGGAGGGTCTTTCTTTTTGATCTTCTTAAAAAGATTTCGTTCGTAATGTGCCTGCTCCTGTTGGAGAAGAACTTAAAGAACGCAATATACGCTGCGGTATTACGAGTCATGTTTACTTCCGCAAACACTGAGGACGCTTGCTACGTGTGACGTCATCGCGTCCTCGAGTGCGCATGCGGGACACTTCGGTTGGACGCATTCAGTTCACACAGTAGATCACATACAAGTCGCATATACTTGGAAGTGTGAACGGACACGCAAAAAAAATCCGATTTCACAAAAAAATCGGAATTGAGCATTAAGGCCTGCAGTGTGAACGTAGCTTAACTGACTCTTCTCATGCTCTCTGATTGATTTGTCTTTGTGTGTTCAGGACCTGTCAGATGGACCTGCAGACTGCCATCCAAGAGACTCAGTGTGCCCTAAACTTGGTCCTTAACAACAAATTCTCTCAGGCACTTGACCTGCTTAAGCCATGGTAAGCACTGTTATCCTCCATGTTTTTTTTAATCTTATTTTATTTTGTCTCCTTTGAATGTTTCTGATCATCAAACATTTCTTGATGTTGAGGGTTTCTAGAGAATATTCAGAGCAGTTTTCAAATGTACATTTCATTTATTTTGGCTAAAAACAAGTTATCTTTCATTATTTTAATCTCTTCATATTGGAGAGATAATTTAATATGATGACGTTTAATATTTCCTATACCCCACTGTTTAAATTTGCTGTTTCTCTTCTATTTACTGCCTTCATTGTTTCCTTATTTCCCTCATTAATTGAGTCATTTGTGTTTCTTCCTTTCTTGTCCTTTTGCACCCTATTTTCATGTTTTCACCCTTGTGGAGTTGAGAAGGAAGCTGAGACTCTTGCAAGAGAAGGTTCAAATTTATGTAACATCCCCAGCTGGAGGAATAGAGCTCTGACTGGGCAAAGCTCAGTACATACATTTGTACAGCAACTCGCAATAAACATACTCTCTCTTGGAACTATCCCAGCCCCTACATAAAGAACTTACTGACACTTGAAAATTTGGTTATTCCCAATTAAAAACCCAATTCATCAAGGTCATACATTTTAGCCAGATACATTTTTGAACAGGTCTCCCTGTTCTCAACATGAAGGAGGCTTTGTGAACTTATTCTTATCTCTCATGACCCTCCCTTCACCCTTGTTTAGAGTAGGGAGGCAGCTGCTTTCTGTCATTCCCACTCTGAACTCCCTACATAACTTAACTCCAGCATACAGACTGGTACAAGTCTTCTAAACAATCACACCTATTAAGGCAGATAAAAGGCACACTCAGAATATTTTATCTCACAAATAGGCCAAGAAACAATATGCTTCCACACCCTCCATCAATGTGCCAACTGTCTTATGTAATTTCATCTTTTCCTTCTTTCTTTATTCTGGGCTTTGAGTTCATGTTCTTTTCCTTTAGTGTTTGTTGCACCTGTCCTTTTTTTTCTTTCCTTTGTGTTTCCTTTTTCACCATCTCTTCACCCCTGTGTTATCTCTACCTTACATCGTACCTCAGTCTCCATCCTCATCCCCTTTGCCGTATCTTATTTTCTCTCCTCCCTTTCTGAAATTCCTTTTCTTTCTTTCCTTCCTGCCTATCTTAACATTTTTCTTCCCCGATCCGTCCTACCTCTTTAACTTCTATCCTTCACCCCTCTTCCCATGTCTCCTCCTTCCTTGTTTCCTTTTGTCCTTTCCTCTCTCATTCCTCGTCTTCATTCTCTCCTTCCTCGTGTCCTTTCTTTCTCGACCCTTTCTGCCGGTTTTGGCTAAAAGTTTTCCAAGCCAGTTCTTTATGGTTTTAACTGGTTACGACGCGTTTGTAACTGAACTGAGCTGTGTGCAGGTGGAAGCACAGTATGTACCACGCCCTCGGTTACAGCAGCATCCTGGTGATGCAGGCCACCATGACTTTTGAGCAAAAGGACATCCAGACTGCCATGGAAACCATCAAGCAGGCGTTGCAGACATGTCACAGGTGAGAGTTTAATGCCATGATTCTTCTGTTTTATGGGTGCATAGATAATCAGTTCATCTGAATTGGAAACCAATTAAGGTAAATAGATTATTGATCGGGTATTGTTTCAGAAGTAGATGACAACTTTGCTGTATTGATGAACCTCAGTTCTTTGCGTCACTATTGATTTACTGAAACTTTTTCGGATAATCTTTCGATCAAAGTGTACCTTTTACTATAGTGTTTTAGTGTTCTTTTCTTCTCTGACAACTAGCTTCCAGCTTGAATAAATCCCCCAGAGGTCCTCAGACTGAATCAAAGATTAAAATCTCAATAAACTGTATTTACAGATTCAGGAAGAGAAACTCGATGGTCGGTTCTCTATCCAGTCTGATCAGCAAACAGTCCAACTTGCAGGAAGGTATGTAGACCTTACTGGTTTTAGCTGGGTGGTAGAACTCACAAGAGAAGTGCAACATGATACATCGACTATCTTTGTGCTTTCAGAGGAAATGCATGCAGAGCTCTGCTATGCCGAGTGCCTTCTGCAGAAAGCAACTCTAACTTTCATACAGGTATGAATCACTGTCTTCTTCATGGTTTATTTGACCCAACTGAGCATATTTGCATTGTGTTTATTCCACAACACAAGTCACAGCTTTTTGACTCATTTGTGTAAGAAAATAGTCATAGTCTGACAAAATAATTTTGCCCGGGTCCTAAAATCCATTAGAAAATGGATCTGAATGCTCTTAAAATCACGTTTTTTTTTCTTTTTTAAAGTCAGCGTTGTATTCAATAACGTGGACAGACATGCTTGCAGTTTACAGCAAACAGTGGGTATGGAAAGTATTCAGACCCCTTTAAATTGTTCACTCTTTGTTTCAATGCAACCCTTTGCTAAAATCAATGAAGTTCATTTTATTCCCTATTAGTTTACATTCAGCACCATCTTGAGAGAAAGAAACAAAAATGAAGAAATTTTTGCAAATGTATTATGATGATGTAAGTTTTTCACACTGGGATTTGGGGATCCTCTGCCATTCTTCCTTGCAGATCCTCTCCAGTCATGACAGGTTGGATGGTGAACGTTGGTGGACGGCCATTTTTAGGTCTCTCCACAGATGCTCGATTGGGTTTAGGTCAGGGCTCTGGCTGGGCCAGTCAAGAATGGTCACAGAGTTGTTCCCAAACCACTCCTTTGTGATTTTAGCCGTGTGCTTAGGGTTATTATTTTGTTGGAAGGTGAACCTTTGGCCCAGTCTGAGGTCCTGAGTTCTCTGGAAGACCTTTTCTTCCAGCATATCTCTCTACTTTTTGATACAGTCCTCCTGTCCCTTAAGCTGAAAAAATGCCCCCATAGCATGATGCTGCCACTGCCATGTCAAACTGTTGGGATTGTATGGGGCAGGTGATGAGCAGTGCCTGGTTTTCTCCACACATACCTTTTAAAATTAATGCCAAAAGTTCAATCTTGGTTTCATCAGACCAGAGAATTTTCTTTCTCATAGTCTGGGATTCCTTCATGTTTTTTTTGGCAAACTCTATGCTGGATTTCATATTTCTTGCACTGAGGAGAGGCTCCCATTGGGCCACACTGCCATAAAGCCCCGACTGGTGGAGGACTGCAGTGGTAGTTAACTTTGTGAAACTTTCTTCAATCTCCCTACTGCGTCTCTGGAGCTCAGTCACAGGGGTCTTCTGGTTCTTCTTTACCTCTCTCACCAAGGCTCTTCTCCCAGAATTGCTCAGTTTGACTGGACGGCCAGGTCTAGGTAGAGCTCTCGTCGTCCAAAATTTCTTCCATTTAAGAATTATAGAGGCCACTGGGCTCTTTAGGGCTGGTTACCCTCTCGCAGCAGTGTGTCGCAGTGAGCTTGTCGCAGATATTTGGATTTATGCCCAATTTTGATGTTATTCCACGCCACAACACAAGAGGGACAATCACAAACTAGCTGTGGGTCTAGATACGGCCGAGGCGGTGAGGAGGTGGGGGCAAGTTTGTGTGAGAACGGAGGGACATGAGGGCCAAAAAGAGCGGAGATCCAGGTGGAATAATGATCCCAGTGTTCTAGCGCACCTCACTCTTCTAGCTGGTCAATCTTCACGAGTCGTTTTCCACAATGGCGGTCATACAAACAAAACAAGCCGGTAAGGTACCAAACAGGAAATATGCATAATGTAGAGCAGATGTAGAATTGACCAATTAGAGGCCTCCTGTCTGCGGCACTGTCTGTGATGACCTACAATATAGGTGAGGTACAGCAGAGTGTCTGCGGAAGAGGCGGGACATATCTGCGTTCACTGCGACAGACGCAGACGACCTGGTTTCTGAGTATAAACCAGCCTTTAGGAACCTTTAGTGCTGCAGAAATTCTTTTGTAACCTTGACCAGATCTGTGCCTCTGAGCTCCTTGGGCAGTTCCTTCGACCTCATGATTCTCATTTGCTCTGACTTTGCTAATCAAGTTCAATCCGTTTAATTAAACACGGTTGGACTCCAATGAAGGAGCAGAACCATCTCAAGGAGGACCAGAAGAAATAGACAGCATATGGGTTAAATACTAGTGCCACAGCAAAAGGTCTGATTAATTATGACCATTTGATATTTCAGTTTTGCTTTTTTAAATAAATTTGAATACATTTCTACATTTCAGTTTTTTTTCTATCGAGATGGGCTGCTGAGTGAACATTAATGAAAATAAAATTAACTTTATTTATTTTAGCAAATGGCTAAAATAAAACAAAGAGTGAATACTTTCCATACCCACTGTACTTTCTGGGTTGGTTGGTGACATTTAAGCACATATAATGTGAGGTGATAGAAAACAAACAATAAGATGTGAATCTCTAGAGATGTTATCCTGTTTTATTAATATATATAATATATATATATAATATATATAATCTATTTTTGTACATTAACTTATTATTGATGGTAATAAACTTTCTTTTAACTGCTACTATTTTTGGTGTTCATCTTCCATTATTGCTGATTATTCATCATAATTCCTTTTCATAAGGGAAAGTATAGAACTTACTGGTTGCTTTAGTAATTTATTAATCTTCACATAAAGTTTGGAAGCGAAAAAAGAAATGTTGCTCCTAAGATATTCTTAAGTTTGAAAGCTTAATTTTATATTTTCTGAAGCCCATTCCGTCTACGCACTAAAAAGGAACAGATTTTAACCCTTTACAGCCCGACCCAAGAATAAAATAGAAAATTACTTTTTTTTTTGTTTGAAGTCCTTATTTGGCCTTTTAACAAAATATGTAAAAAGAAAAAACAGAAATACATTTTTGATATTAATAATTTATTACTATGCGATAAGTCAAGATTATTTTTTGTGTAGTCTTCTGCCCTCTGTTATCAGGTATATCTGATTGTGTAAAATAGGATTTTGAGCAAAGTTTTTACCATTAAATTATGCAAAAGGTGTCAGACGCAAAACATTTCAGAAACCGTATGTATCAAATATGATACATTTGGCATTACAGGGTTAAGAAATTTCTCTTGAAATCGCTGTGATATAATGTAAGTAAAACCTTGATCCTTCTCTTCCAGGATGAGAACATGATCAGTTTTATAAAAGGAGGAATCAAGATTCGAACAAGCTACCAAATCTACAAGTGCGTTATAAATACTCTTAACACTTCCGTCTGAAATATGTTTTACTTATTTAATTTGAATTCATGCTTGACTCTAATATGAGGATTTTTTGTTCATCAGGGATTGTCAGAATGTGCTGAACATCTCCCAGGACAAGCCAGTGCAGTCTGAGTCTTTCAAACAGTTTGAGGGTGGAGTCAAGCTGGGGATCGGCTCATTTAACCTGGTGGGTGAACATTGTTTGAATGTGACGTCATTTATGCTGATGGGAAACTTTTCCAAAGATTTTCAGATTATTAACATACAGAAGAGGATTAGGGCTACTGAAAAAAAAAGGTTAATGGATTTTTAAGTTTTATTTCAGTTTAACATGGGAAAAAAGTCAGAATTCTGACTTTTTTCTCAGAATTCTGACTTTTTTCTCAGAATTCTGACTTTAATCTCAGAATTTTGTATCTTAATGTAGATGGGCACCATGAAGGAAGAGATTTCGGAGCACTCAGCTTCACTGAAAAAGATGTGAGTTGTTTGAGGTGGCCAGTGACACATTGGTGGAAAATGACGGTATTAGGCAACTTTTTACGTGCCCGAGGGATCCCCTCATTAATGGAGGAGCAGAAGGTCATTAAGACAAGAGAGCTAGTCTGTAAAACAGATATGGCTATGGCTTGATGCTAACATGTTTGTAATCTGTCAGATTTCTGAGAAAAAAGTCAGAATTCTGAGAATAAAGTCAGAATTCTGAGATTAAAGTCAGAATTCTGAGATCAAAGTCAGAATTCTGAGATCAAAGTCAGAATTCTGAGATCAAAGTCAGAATTCTGAGATAAAAGTCAGAATTCTGAGAAAAAAGTCAGAATTCTGAAATTAAAGTCAGAATTCTGAGAAAAAAGTCAGAATTCCGATTAAAGTCAGAATTCTGAGAAAAAAGTCAGAATTCAGAGATTAAAGTCAGAATTCTGAGATCAAAGTCAGAATTCTGAGAAAAAAATTCAGAATTCTGACTTTTTTTCCCATATTAAACTGAAATAAAATTTAAAAATCAGTAAAAAAAAATTTTCCGGTGGCCCTGATCCTCTTCCGTATATGAATTTGTTTTACAAATAAATCTAAATAATTTCACTCTATCTTCGTATTGCTAAAATTAGCAGCATGTCATCAACATATCGACAGACCTTCCAATTCTCATGGGTGAAAAAATATCCAAAATTGCATAAATAAATAACAATCAGGTGCAGTTTTTTAATGCCTCTCTTCATGTGATTTGTTTTTGCGTTTTAGATGTTGTCTCTCCTACCTCAGAGGATTTTAAGGCTGTTGGAGTTTATTGGGTTCTCAGGAAACAGGGTGAGTACTTCCCCTCTTTCCAAACCTGTGTGCATATCCTTTATACGACATTGCGAAATAAATCTCACTTGGTCTGTTTTTGCCTTCAGAGTTTTGGTTTAGCTCAGCTAAGGGAGGGAGCATCCAGCCAAAGTTTGCGTTCCATCCTCTGCGTGCTAACCTTGCTCTTCTATAACACATATGTCTCACTGATACTGGGTAAAGTTTTTGCTTGTCTGGTTTAACATCCTTCCCTGAATGTCTGATTTTTGGGTTTATGATTTAAAATTTGTTTTGTGGTTTTTGGAAAAGGAACGGGGGAGGGGAACCTGGTGGAGGCGGAAGCTTTGCTGGAACCATACCAGGAAAAGTACCCTAAAGTATGCCAACTACATGTCACTGTATTTAGTGCTGATCGGCTGGGACACACAGAGAATTATACAAATATTTTGTTTACTTTTTTTTCAAGGGCTCCATAATTCTTTTCTACTCTGCTCGGATCGCCACGCTACGAGGAAACTTTGAGAAGGTTTGTTCTTTTGCTCTTATGATCTGTGTCTTTAAAGGCATACTATGCAACATTTTTCAGTTAATTAATGTGTTCCATAACGTTTTGGATGATTAAATGAGTAATTTCAGGTCGAACAAAGGTTTTCTCGGCCGCCCTGGTGGTCTGTAGGGGAAATACCGTACTTGCAATTGCAGGAGCCCTCGGCCCGCACCTACAGGCTCAGAAGTCTCGTGCATCACGAGAGTCGGTCTTGCTTTACGGCGAGAACTGCTACACGCCCCCAGTGAAAGGCATGCTCGTTGCTAGCGCAGTGGTGATATTTGTGCAGTTATCATGGCGGAACCAGCAAGAAAACAGCGAAAGCCCATGTCGGAAACATGCTAAATTTTCAAACTCGAAAATTGGAACAAAATAGTCACTTACCGCAGTAGACATGGTGATTCGTTGCGTTCGCCTGTCTGCTAAGCTCAAAACAACCGCGCCTGGCTTGACGGAGAAACCAGGAGAACAGCTGAGCATATTTACGAAGGTGCACTTTTACTTTCGCCCTCTGGGGGGAGCCTCGCTGGAAAATCAACACCGGTTGCATAGTATGCCTTTAAAGAGTTTTTGATGCTGGAATAAAAGCAAACTTAAAATATGAAACGCTAAATGTTTGAGTTTACAGATGTCACTATGTACTGTGCTAAAAATAAACATTACCAACTTCTGACAGTCATTAATATAAGTCATTTTTTATAATGTCAAAGCAGCTTTCATTGATGCTCTTGGGGTTGCGAAAGTGGAAACAAAGTGAAGAAGAACAGCCACTTTTACAGTATGAAAGAGTTTACAAACTGCTGTGAACCTCTCCCTGGGATCTCTAGGGTAACTGGAAGACTCTCTGCAGTGTACCGCAGCAAGGAAAGAGAGAGTTAAAAGGTTCTCATGAGTTTGCAGCATTTATTCTCAGCTCTTTCACATTACAGGTATCACTGCTAATCTAGATGCTGCTAATCACCTGGTTTTCTGAAACAAGTCGCTTCATAACAATCAGTCATAACCAGACTCATGATCTTCTTCCAACCACATTGATAAAGAAAAACAGAACGTGCTCGCCCCCCCCTGCTGGCCTGGCACTAGTGTAACACTGCATTAGTTCATTGTTATTACTTACATATTTTTAAATTGTATATAGAAAACGTATAACAAATATTGCCCATCCCTACTTTGATCTAATCTTTAACCAAAATCAATATCAAATATATTTTCTAAAAAATAATAGAATAGAATAATAGAATATTTACATATATATAATGGATATATAATATAAAAAACACACTATATATATATATATATATATATAATATAATATATTTGTATCTTCCTGTTTTTTTAACATTACCTTTCATACCTGCTTATGTAATAATAGCAGCTTTTGAAATATACTTTCTTACTAGATTTTTAAAAAGGGAGTGTAAGAGTTACTTTCTAAACATTTCAAAATGTAACTTAACCTTTTTTTTATCTATATGAAAAAAACAACCTAAGAACACGTCCAATTTTCATTTACAAAATCTGTTTTTAATTATTTTTTATTTCTTTTTGCTCAAGGTTCTTATCTTTCAAAAATAATGAATCAAAAATCAGAATTTTTATTTTGTACGTTTGCTTTTTTTCAGCATATGATGTCAAATCTTAAAAAGCTTTTATCGGTTAAACTCTAGAAAGGACAGTAAAAAATATTTTCTCAGATTCTCTAAGCTTCAATTGCCTTTTTTGATGAAGTGATTAAATAATGGCAAGATGTTGATATTAAAAAAAGCTTTTTATCTTTGTGATTTCTTTTTTTAGATTTAATATTCCATATAATACCTCATAGAAAAACAGTAGGTTTTTAAATACACATTTTTATTTTTTTTTTTAGAAAGGGATTCTAAGATTGACCTTGTAAACATTTAGAAATATAACTTTATTTTCTATATTTTTTTGCAAATGTTTGAATATTATTTTTAAATATGTTGTTAAAAACACATTTTATTTTCTGAAATGTTTTTTTTTTATTATTTTAAAGAAATTTGTAAATGTCCCTTTTTCCTCAGGGGCCAAACACTTTCAGTTCTTTACAGGATATTTAATTGCATAAATTCTAAGCATTTTTTTTGTACATTCCATATCAGCATTAAGAAATACTTGAAGCGTCTATCTGATTTCTCATTGCTGTACTTTTTTAATCATTTTCTTGTTGTTGCCTAATTAAATTCCCAAATCAGAGCCGTAAAATGTCGTCATGTGTTCTGCTCTTAAGGCAAGGGCCCGGTTTGAGGAGTGCATCAGCAGCCAGCAGGAGTGGAAGCAAATCCACCACCTGTGTTACTGGGAACTGATGTGGACTCACTCGTTCCAGCAGGAATGGCAGCAGGCGTACCGCTATGCCGACCTGCTCTGCAAAGAGAGCCGCTGGTCCAAGGTGAGCTTTAGCTTTTTTCTAGGATTTCCTTTTTATTCTCTCTTGACATGAACAACCTCTTAACATCCACTTTGGGAAATTCTCGCCTATTTTGCATACCCAAATGGATAAGCAAATAACTTAGGAACTTTAAGCCCAAATTACACGTGCAATACATTATTTGAAAGCCAACACCTTTTAGTTTCTGAATATATAAATGGAAATTGGGTGAGTAGAACACAGACCAAGCTGCATCAGTTCAAACATGACTAAAAGTTTTTTTTTTATTGTGATAAAGACATGCTTGAAAAACGCCCTGTCTCATTTTATTACATTTGTTCTACATCATGTCAACCACAAATGCAGAGAATTTCAGACCTCTAGCTACAACTGTTGTAGAGATGTGGAGCTTTGAACATTTGGTGTCATCAGCGCCTTCTAATCTCTTATTTCTAATGTGCCAAATTGTGCGATCTAGTTTGGATCCACTAGCCCAGGGGTCGGCAACCTGGAGCTCTGGAGCTGCATGCGGCTCTTTAGCCTCCCCCTTGTGGCTCCCTGGAGCTTTTTCAAAAATGTATGAAAATCGATTTTTTTTTTTTTTTTTTTTTTATGGTGTGCAGGTTGCAAACATAAATTAATGTTTTCCAATGCTTTAAACATTTGTATTATAAATAGATTTAAACAATAATTTGCGTCATAGCCATAGAGATCAGTGATCATAACTTGGAACCAGTGTGGCGCGGTGCCAGGCAAACAAAGCTACAGGTGAGTCTCGGAATATGAATCCCAAAGGGAAAAAAAGGAAGATTGCTGAGGAGAAAAGAGGATTCAAATAGGCCGACTCATTTGCTTTCATTATCATTGCTGAACGATTGTCTGCATTTTTGCTTTTGCATTTTCTATAATTTCGTTATTGCAAGAAAATTTAAACCGCGCAGTGAAGGTGGTGAAGCGGTGCGCGATGGTAGCGTTCACTGTTCCTCCGTCACCTCAGGCTACTGTGTGACATTTGCTTCAGGATAAACATTTAATCGTGAATGCTTATTATATATTTAAGCCCATATAGTCCTTTTCTATAGTGGGATAATACACTTAGAGCCCGTGTTGCTATACGAGGCTTATATAAGGCTTTTACATTTTTGCGGCTCCAGACAGATTTTTTATTTTTTTTTTTTGGTCCAGTTTGGGTTGTCGACCCCTGCACTAGAGGTCTTGATTTGTGTGCTTTGGGTTTTTTTTAGGCCATCTACATGTACCAGAAAGCAGCCATCCTCAGCATGATGACGGAGGATGATGTGAGGAAGACGGGGGAGGATATCGTAGAGCTCTTCAGGTTGCTTTTCTTTCACATCGATGCACCTCAGCATCATTTTACTCATGATGTTGGAGGGGAAAAAAAGGCTTGTTTTAAAGATACCTTTTGATGGTTATTGTTTGGGGGCCAAACTAATAAAGCAGTATTTGTGTGCAGGCAGGTGGAGGGACTGAAACAGCGCCTGGCAGGAAAGTCGATCCCCATGGAGAAGTTTGCAGTAAGGAAGTCCAGACGCTACAAAGCTGCTAAGCCTGTCCCACTGGTCATCCCTGCACTGGTTCGTCAACTGCGCATCTTTCACTTGGAAGTGAATAAAAACCTTTGTATTCAGAGCTAATAAATCCTTGTTTTTTTTGTTGGTAGGAGATGATGTACGTTTGGAACGGGTTCACCATCGTTGGGAAAAGAGCCGACTTTACAGAGTCTCTGCTGGTTACTATTGAGAAAGCTGAACAGCAGCTGCGCAATGACCCAAGTGAGCACAACCAGGCGTTTTCCATAATAGAGATCTACTCATATAACTGTTTCCCGTCATTTATGCAGGGATTAAAGTATTCCGGCCTGTAGCGTTTGCCCGTGGGTAAAAGAAATCCCTCAAAAAATAAATTGACGGTAAATAAATAAAGAGAAGACAATTGAAATCCCTCTTGCAATTCTGTGCACTTTTCAGTTTCAGACTTTTTTTTGTTACAGGTGCAGCTGCTGAGAATTATTTTTGTTTCTTAATCGGTTTGGCTAGTGTCATTGTTATGTGTGTAAAAGCATAGCCAAGGAAGGAACACTTAATTTTAATTTTATAAGTTTTTTTGAATCAAGCTTGTTTAATATTGTGCACAGCATACAACCACAAAATATTGTTCTTATTGTTTATTGTATTTATTTATTAATGAAAATATTTCTGTAGAATTTTGGAGTCTTTGTTTTTATCCTTGTGGTATCGAAAATGGTATCGAGTATCGAATATTTTCCTTAGTATCGGTACCGAGTTGAAAAGTTTAGTATCGTGACAACCCTACCAGGATCCTAACACATCAATGCATCTATGGACCCCCCCACCCCCACACCCACACACAAACACACCTCAAAGAACTTATCAACCCACAGAACACAACCCGCTCCCTTCACTCTACTCATTCAAACTTCCTCCACATTCCCAGAACCAGACTGACTATAATGCGAGCCCCACATCTGTGGAATGCCCTCCCTGATACCTTGAGGGCTCCTCAATCCACTGAGTGTTTTAAAAACTGCCTTAAAACATTTATTTTTAGCAAAGCTTTTTGGTCCCCTTTAGATGTTTTTGCATGCTTTTTTTTATTATTCTTTTTTTGTTCTCTTTTTTTACCTGGAGCACGTTGAGATTTTGTGATGGAAAGTGCAGTGTAAATAAATGGTATTATTATTATTTGCTGATCATTCGTCCCTTTTTCTCTCCCAGATCCGTCAGAGTTCCATCCAGACGACAGCGGTCTGGTCCAGATGTTGAAGGGGCTCTGCCTGAAACATCTGGGCAGGTTTCTTCAAGCGGAGCTCTGCTTCACGCAGGTCCTTTCCAGGTAAGACCAAACACACAGAACAACAAAGGCATTCAGATGATATGGTTCAGGCTCTGAGTGACGCTGTTGATCTTCCTTCTGCTAAGATCAGTTCTTATCTCCTCTTCTGTGTGTCTGTTTGCTCTCAGTGAGAGTCGTATCCGATACGATCACTACTTGATCCCTTTCACCCTCTATGAGCTGGGCCTGCTGTATAAACAACAGGGGGATTTCTTAAAGGCCACCACGTACATTGAGAAAGCCAAGTAAGTGCAGCTTTAACTGGACGCACATTTCTTTTTTTTTTATTTGATTCAAATGTGGGAGTTAGACAGAACGATACGTCGCCGATAATTTGGACAGATTTTTTTTTTTTTAGTGCACTGCAAAAAATATAAATCTCAATAAGTTATTTTTTCTTAAATTCAGTGCATTTTTTCTTGAATTAAGGAGGTAAGTGAGACACTTTGCCAATGGAACAAGACAATTTACATTTAAAATAAGAACAACACTATTGCATTGTCTTATTTCAAGTGTATAATATTTATTAATCTTATTTTAAGAGTTAAATTACTCATTCCATTGGCAAATCATCTTATTTACCTACTCAAATTAAGGGTAAATACACTTACTTTTAGACTTTTTTACTCATTTTTAGATCATTTTTGCAGCGTGGGCGATTGCCGCTTCTTCTATTTTGCAAGCAAAGAACATGTTTTGTATGGAGGACCGGCTGTTATGTAAAAACGACTGGCAGAAATAAATAACATTGAAGAAATAAATAGGGTAAAAAATACAAAGGAAGAATAAAACAGACACAAATATTATAACATGCGCATAAATACTTTAAAAAATAAGTAATTGATAAATAAATTTGAAGATTATGACTGACAATATATAAATAAGTTAATTATTACAAAGGTGAATAAACAAAGAAGCTATTTAAAAGAGATTTATACATTTATGTCTCACTGTATAATTTAATTTCTACCTACATTTATTTGTTTATTGTATTTTTGGGGGTAATTGATTGTATGCTTATTTATTTATTTTTAAATATGGTAGAGCTGGTCCTCCATAGTTTTGTAAAAATTAAAATAGACAAAAAAAACCTACAGGTGTTGTAAAAGGAAATTTGAAAAAAATGCAAAAATGCTTTGTTCAGAATTGTACTGTGAAATGCAGTGTTATAGTAGAGGAGGGTTTTAGGAGCTGCTGGATCATCTGGGTTCCTTTGATTTGCCGTATGCTGCTTTTGTATTTTAGCCTTGTCACCACTCGATCTGTCCTGCGCATGCGCAAACAGATATACATCCGGGTGTCCATAAATAATGGAATTATGTTACTAAAATTACTTATTACTATCCTTAACTCTCTAATTAGGACTTTTGTGAGACAATTTTGATGCTTTTTACATTTTCTTCGTTAAACTGCTTCTCTGACGTCATCATCGGACATGCTCAGAGCTTAATTTGATTAAACCATGTTTATCTGCATTTCTTTCTTTAGATTACGCACTATATAGCATAAGGTTAAAACGAAACAAAAACATAAAATTCAATTTATGTTTAAATCCAAAGCCGAAAAAGTTAAGCCACCGGAAATAGCATAGGATCCTATTTCCGGTGCAGATCGGGTAGAGACGAGTGATAAAATAGAAAGGATTTTAAGGAATTTATTTTCTCAGGAAATACATTATTAACCTTTAAAACATTATATTTTAGTACGCTTACTATTTTTGGGGAGGGAAAAATGTAATTTAGGTCTTTTTAACAAAATAAAATCGAAGACGACCAGGATGTATATCTGGATGCGCAAAATAGCTGAAGGCGCATGTGAAGGACGGATCGTGCTTCTGGGGCAGATCGGGTAGTGACAGTCCCTTTAAATTTTTATTTCAGGGAGTTTGTAACCCTAGTTATGTACCTAGCTATCCTTTGCTAAGCTAAACCCTTGTAATAGCTATTTGAATTAATTCAGAAAACATTTTCTGTTTATTTTATGAATGGTTGTTTTCTGGCTCTTGCCTTTAGGACGAACTACAAGGACTACTCCATGGAGTCCAGACTGCACTTCAGGATCCACGCAGCCCTCAGCAGCCTCAAAGGCTCTCCTGTTGGCACCCCATGATGCTGCGAAACAAGTCAAGCTGCTGCTGTTTGCTCAGCCGCAGTTAAAGTTTACCGGGGAAGCATCTGCTTTACTTTATATTCTTTCTCCTTTTAACTGCTTGAACATTTACACTGACACAGATGCTTTAAGCTTGTTCAAGATGGCGGCCAGTCTAAGGTGGAATATTATTAGAAGGGTCATTAAAACCTCTGATTGGATTTTGTTTGAAAAACAAATGTCTTTTCTGCAACAAAACATTGTCTTCTTTTTCACCAAACAGCCCAAAGATATCAAAAATCAAATCTTTAGGAGAAGCAAAAAGGAGATTCAGTAAGTAGAAGGAAAAAAAAACCCAAAAGAGATTTTCTGGCATTAAAAAAACTTGGAAAATCTTTTGTGAAACTGAAAACAAACATGAACAAACCATGACTCTACAGTCAAAAAAAGTAATAAAATAAGTATATTTTAGGAAAAAGTAAAACATGAATATGTATATATATTTCAGGTATGAAAAATAGGTAAAAATACAAAGTTTTGGTTGTCTGTTCTTTTTAGCTTTATACCTCTTTAATTTTTATAAATGCTTCATGCCACATGTGCAGGAAGGACACAGGTGTGTCTGTGCACAGTCACCGCCTTCTCACCAGTCGTGGCCTAAATAATCACACTCATTCCAAGCTCACACGTAAAGGCTGTTATGCACATTTGAAGGAGATTACACACACAAACGGCAGCAATTGCACATTTAGAGCAGCAATATGAAATATTGTTTGTTGTTCATAGTTTAGCTCTTCTGATTTGTTTTTGTAAAATTTGCATTAAGAAGTCACCGGGTTTAATTTATTCATGTGTTTCTCAAAAACAGAGCAGCTTTTAGGTGGTTAATAATTTCTGGACTATTATTAGGCATCAAATCCAGCTGAGCTAGCTCAGTTTAGCTAGCGAAATTAGCACTGAAAAATAGCAACAGGAGGATCGTCATGACTACAGCCCCGCATATTTCATGTAACGTGACTAAACCATAAACCGAAAATTTTGTTATGAAAATTTGAATCTGGAGTTCCACAGGATCCTGTACTGGCCCTTCTGTTTTTTGTTTCTTTACTGATCCTTTTACGCTGCTTAAACTGTCTAGTAATTAAGTAAAAGCTAAGAACTTAACCTAAGTTACAGAAGAGGCTAATTCCAGTTATGTTGAAGACTAAGAAAACCAAACACTACAACCCCTGCAAGGTTTGGATATACACTAAAATTTGCTATGATGAACTTTTTGTTGTGGCAGTTGTCTTATTAACATATTTCAAAAAAAGTTATGAATAGTTCTGTAATTGAAAGCTTCTCTAGATGAACTTTTACTGTCCTCAAATTACCTGGGACTAATGTTAACCATTTAAGGTTAGCATCAACTTCATATGCTAAACATTTTATGTTAGCATATGAAGGTGGTTCAACTTATCCCAGGAATAAAAAGCATCAAAATCAATTATGGCAGAGACCCAACAGTGTGTATCATGATAAATGACTGCTAATCAACAATGCAAAGATCGAAGCAAGCACAGGAGTGCATGTCAGTTTCACCATCGTTTGGGGTAGCAGTTCTGCCATTAGCTAGTTTTTGGCCACTTAAGATGCTAATGGACTCGCTCATCTTTAAATTGTGAAGTTGTAATCAGTATGGCTACAAAAAAATCAATATGTACCTTGGTAGTTATATTTAAAGTAAGAATAGTATTAGAAAGTCTGGTTATTAAGGAGATAGACTAAGTTCCAAGTTGTCCAATGTTTGGCAGCTTTTACAGTTGAGTAACATGAAAATGACTGTACAAACTGTGCCGATCTATTTTTAAGAAGCAGGGTCACAGTAGCCCTAATGGGTATAGTTCCTCAATACTGCCATTAAAACCTTTGGGGATCTAACTGGCTAATCTAGATCATTTAAACTTTATATAAGTAGATATAAGAATTAGGGGGCCCAGTATACAGCTAGAGGGAACTCCATTTTTAAGACTTGCTTTTTTTTGGGATCCTGGACTTTAAAAAGGAAAGTGTTAATCTAATATATTTCTATGTTAACATTGAAAGAAGTTATAGGGTTATTTTTTTTTTTCTGCTGTCAAGGAGCCAAAAATAAATCCGAATTTTAGGGAGAAGAGAAATAAAAAAAACGATTTTATCAAACATTTTTAAATCCAAAACTTCTGATTGTAGATGACTAAACCAAAAGGATGTCACTTCTTTTTTTTTTTTAGAAGATAGCACTGAAGCAGCTCGGTCTCTGAGAAGTACTCGCACATTTATAACCTTTAGCTGCCCGGGGCCAAGCGGCCATCTTTTTTTCTTTTATTTTTGCAAAACCTTTGCTTTGAACAAGGAATCGTGGCCTTTTACTTGTTTTGTTGCTTAATAACCTGAATTGCTTCATAATTCATTCAGACATTTAGATCAAAAGTATATACATATATATATATAGAGCAACTTTATAGTGTAAAGTACATTTAAGCACAATCTATGTTCTTTAAAAACGTGGATCAAAGGAAGTGATTTATTTTAGTTCATAAGGATGGAGACTCTCTGATGGGGAAATCTAGAGGATAGTGGGTTGGTAAAAATGATGAAAAAAGGGGTTGGTTATCTTCCTTTAGCCTAATTAATCTCTGCTTTCTCTGGAAACATTTGGATATCAGAATGGTTGTCCTCTGTATTTATGAACGTATTGACATGAAGACCAAATCCTACCTGTTTTTCGGGGTTCTGTGTTGTTTTGTTGTTGTTTTTTTCTCCTGCATCCTAAATGTCTGGATGTATTTCTTGATGTTTTTGCGTGACCTGAAGCATCGCTTGTGAACAACCTGATGCATCGCAGAAAACTATTTATAATGACCAGAGATGCTTAAAGGACTTGTGGCAATGACATCAGAGTCTCAGGTGTCTGTTGTTTTTTTATGATGGGTTTTAGTTAATTCTGTTCAGAGATGAGAAAGTTAGAGTTTTCTCTCCTCATGTCTCAGCATTTGAACAAAGATTTGAAATCTGACCGGGTAAGTTCATATATGGCAGTCAGGTGGAGGAGCCTCAATGTGATCAGATTTGGAGTAAATTTGGATTGAGTTTATCAATCAAAAAATAGATTTTAAATTTTTTTTTTTTTATAAAGTAGGTATGCTGTGTTTATTAAACAGGTTGAGGCCTGGTGTTTTGAGGGTAAACAGTTGTGGTTAGAGGAAATGGGCAAAGTGTGGAAGCCAAATAAGGACGTAAATCTAAACTGACATTGAATCCTCAACATTTTGACGGAGTGAACCATATTCGTTTAATAAAAAAAAGACCTCTAATAGGATTGCAGATTCAACATCCGAAGGAGCCAGTTATAACCTAAGAACAGATAATCAGGTAAATAAATATTTGAATGGTACAGATAAGTTAACAAAGAAATGTTTATTTTTTTATGGTTTAACTCTGTTCATTGCCACAACCCTCTGCTCCTGGAGAGCTTTGCTTGTTCTGTCCAGTAGGTAAATGTCAGTGCCTCTGTGTGCATCTGTCCTCAAAATGTTATCTGTTCTCCATTGGGTTGCATCTTATGTAATGTAATCTTTTATTTTTTTTTATTTTTTTTTTCCTGATGTAAAGGCAGGAGGGTGAAGGAGGCCTTTTTTTTTGGGTGGAAATCATTTGGTGCAATAAAGTGGAAACAGGAACGCTGTTCATTTTGTGAGCTTTTGTGGTTTTATTTTTGCTGTTGTGTCTGTGACGTCCTTAGATTTTTATTAATGAAAAATGAACCAATCAGCGCAACGCTCACCATGTTTAGAGATTTTCCATCTGAAGCTTGGTTTTTAATATTTTACTTTCTTCTTTTCATTTGCTCTGAAGACATTTAAAACACCAAGGAGTAAATGCTGGTCACAGAATACCCTTCTTATGCAATTAAACCATTTAAAATCTTCAGGCATTGACTGTAAAGGTTCATTGTTCACAGTATTGAAAAATACTAGGTGGGGTTTCAGCTCTGATAATTCTGGTGATCTTTGATTTATGACCTGAAGTAGAAGCAGCTTGACTCCAGCCACTTCAAGGGGAAGCATGCTTTTGCACAGGTATCAAAGCTCATCATTCGGGGATTCTTTGTTTGTCTTTGTTTTAGTCTCACATGTGATTGTTAGCTGTCACTATCTTACCCCCCAATTCCACATCAGACATCAGCGCTCACGTACGTTGTCTGGAGCGCTTGTCTGTCATGTTAGTCAATGAGAGCTGTTTCATATCCACCTCTACTCCTCCACACGTCTCAGTCCGTTAGCGTCTAAATACAGAGTAGAGCTATATTTTGCTCCGCTCCTGTCCGGCCAGGTCAAGATCCGCAATTACATTCACACCAAGCAGGAAAAAGAAAGTCCAGAAGATCTAGTTTGTCAAATTAAAATATAGTGACAAATGATCGGTAACTACAGATTAGAGCATAATTCTTATATATTCCAAAAAAACTAAGACTGTTTATTTAAAAGATCGGATGCAACCTGTTGGTACTTCAACAGACCAGGAAGGAGATTTCTCATCTCCATCAAAATATTTATTTTATACCAAGAGGCTTAAAAAGTTTAATCAAAGCCAGTCAAAAGAAACTTATTATTGCAGGAATGGATGAAGAGATGCTGAGTTTGGAAGTAGAGAACAAACATAGCTCATAAAAAAGCTATTTTGTATGATCCTTGTTATCCCTGTTACAAAAATATACAACAAAAAGAAAATATTTGTCCAGAAACTGCACATATGCAGGATGATGGGGATTTTTTTAATATGTCATATTAAATTAAGCGTAAATTTCTGCATGTTTTGCTCCTACAAGTTTAATAATAATATTGCGCATGCTCTCCTCGAGCTCCGAGGAAGCAAGACGGGCGGGAGGGCAGAGGCTGTAGGCTTTACTTTTGCACAGGCGGTCTGAAGCTCAGCAGGGTGGTGACAGAGGATGAAGGATAAGGTGCCTTTGGACTGCATCTCTAAGCCCTCTGACACCTTCCTGTATAAATGTCCTGGTGCCTACTGAGACGTTCCAGTTCCTTGCAAAGGTGTCTTTATCTTTATCCCTTTTTCTTCAGTTCCCAAAGATGGGAATAATGGATAACACCAAATAAATGGTCAGTGCATTGGAAAACAAATCTAAACACTAGGGTTAAGTTTTTGTCATAGGGTGGTGAGAGATTGGATAGCGGAGGTGTAAAAGGAAGTCAGAACCAAGACCGAAGCGGGATGTTTAATCCAAAGGGGTTTATTTTCTAGAGATCACGCCCAATCCTGTACCATTTGGACTTGGTTTTCCACTGAGGGCCAGTTAAGACGTTCAGGAGGACACCGAGTGAGGGAAGTTTAAATTAATGAGACAGCTTCTTTTACGTTAACCATCGAATGATGAATATATATTCGCTAAATGGAAACACTGCAATATCGAAAAAGTCTCGGTTTCTGCTAAAAAGTTTGTATGCTTTGATGGGGTGGTTTTTCAGTTGTATCAAAATTCATAAATATTGCAAAGCTGCAATGTAAAACATTTTTCAAATCACACAAGCAACGCGACCTGCAGCTGGACATTACTGCCTTGTAAAATGTAGAAGAAGAAAACCCCAAGTTGTTGGAGGATCTGCCACTGCCATGTTTTAATGTTACGACTTAAACAGATTAATGCACAATTTCAAGTGTACTCATTCTTTACTAGAAGTACTGCAATTAGCAAACTTTCTATTTTTGGGAATTAGCAGAATATCAACATATTTTTTGAACATTTGTAATTGAAACCCATTTAGTGAGTGTATTTCATGTTAACACTGATTAAATCAGGCGGCAAAGCAA